ATAAAGTTATTTTCTCATTATCGTTGGCTAATCAGGTAGCCAAACTGCTTAATTATGCATTGCCCCAGGATTTTCCCTCCATAACAAAAAAACTATATCGGCGGTTGAGCCTCTGTGGTTGCAGGCGGCTGATCAGGCTCCGTGGCTGGCGGCCAGGCTCTGCGGCCGACAGCTGGGGTTCTGTGGTGTTTCGACAACTGGACAAACAATAGCAAAAACTTCTATTCAAATAGACTTCGGTACATTCGGAGTCCTCGGCCTCATCTTCTTTCATGCAACGCAGGCCTCGTCTTCTTAAGCAGTATCTAGCGCCCTCAACGTGCTCCAACCTCCCTATTATAGCTCCTGTTTATATACATTTGTTAATTGTATGTCTATATCTGATCGATTAATTTTCAAAATTATTACATCTCTAACAAATTCAACTGTTTGTCCAAGTTCAATATCTGTTCATATTAGTACATTATGCTTTTAATCAAACGGTGTGAACGTTATTTTGTAAAGAATGAAAAATGATATAATTTAATTCCTATTTAAAAGTGATGTATTATAAAATGATGATATGTCATGTGTGGTAATGGGTAGACGACCATATTCTTTTTCTCAAGTGATATGCATACTTTTAAACTGAAATGTCATACTCGACAAAACAACATAAGTAAAAGTACGTTGTTTCATTGTATAAACATGCACATTTTTATTATACAAGTATGATGAATCAATCAGCCTAATTGTTAGGCAGTCTCGTGTATTAAATTGTGTTGTGCCAATTGAGAGGCTCTTATATTGCGAGTGTTTCCATGAGAGAGAGAGAGAGAAGCAAAGTACGTACCCCACAACAAGAGAGCAAACACAACGGTGATGGTGTTCATATTCTTCTCCATGTTTAGATACATATGTTGTTGTTTTTTTTTTGGTACAGGAACCTTCCGGTTTCAGGATCCACAGGGGAACCGACTAATCCGGAATCGAGCCGGGTAGGACCACAAGGGCGGCAAAGCTCTCCCTCAAGAGCTTTAACACTGCTGCATTCCCAGGGCTCGAACACGAGGCCACTGGTTAAGCTGGAAGAAATCCAAGTCATCTCATCCAAGCGCTCTTCTAATTAATTTCTTCTAAATCGAAGAACAAATAGATAATTAACTTTACATTACCTCCTGTTCTTTTTAAATGTTATTTTGACATTATCAACTATTAACAAAATAAATGTCGTTTTGGATATTTTGTACATATTTTTCCATTATTACCCTCATCTAGCTAATAAATACAAATACACTACGTCTTTTCATATTCACTCTTCATCTTTTTTCAAAACACTACTCTTCTCTCTCTCTCTCTCTCTCTCTCTCTCTCTCTCTCTCTCACACACACACACACACACACTCACAATATATAAGTGCCTCTCAATTAGCACAATACAATTTCATTTTATCTATTAGGATAGTACACGAGACTGCCTACGTATTAGACGGGTCAACCAATCATGTAATAAAAATGTGCATGCTTATACGATGAAATATCATACTTTTACTTATGTTGTTTGTCGAGTATGACAATTCATCTTGAAAGTATGTATATCACTTGAAATAAGTATGGTCACCTAACTATTAAGCATGTTTAACACTGATGTTGCACATAACATATCATCATTTTAGGAAAATTTAGAGATTTAGTAATGTAATTGACAACAATTTGATCAAAAATTCTATGGAGCCATCGGATGGTTTTCTTATGGATGGTTTTCTTATGGAACCATCCATGACTTAGTGTATTAACACTTATCCAAAGTGCATTTATTGTAGGACACGTGTCAATACACTTGTCCAAAGTGCATTTATTGTAGGACACGTGTCATTACATTGATTTTACTAAAATTTAGGTCATTCCACCGAGAAAAACCGGTCAATGTGACCAACTTGCCGAGCTGAATTTGTTAGAGATGTAATAATTATGAAAAATTGATCCGTCACTTATAGATATACAATTTGTATACCTATTCAACAGGAGCTATAATTTGTTGGAGTACGTTGAGGGCGCTAAACATTGCAAATTTAAATTCAGAAGCAAGTGTTGGGCGGCCGAACCACTCAACTGTGAACCATTTGATTGTGCCAAGCGTTGCTCGAGAATAGAACGAGCTGAGGACTACGAATGTTCTTTCGACGACGATTCGAACAAAAGTTTTTGCTATTGTTTTTCCGGTTGTCGAAACTCCACGGAATCCCAACCGCCTGACACAGAGCCTGAGCCGCCAGCCACGGAGCCTGATCAGCCGCCAGCTAGAGAGCCTGAACAAATTTTTATTGTGGAGCGAAAAATCATGTGGCAATGCCTGATGGAGCAATTTGGCTTCCTTATAAGCCAATTTCTTATTTATGCACTTGAATTGAGAATACCTACCTTCACAATGCATGATGTTAAAGTTCAAATGAAATCTAAGTGAGCGATTTTTTATTTTCTAGTAGAAAATAAATTATAAAATAAACTTGTTTTTGGTAAGTTCAAATTGATTGATCAGGTCATTAAGTTAAGTGTGATTGGATATCATTTATTAAGTAATATTGATCATTCATTTTTACACATCATAAGAAATGATGTAGCTGTATTGAATCACAACATTTGAGCATGAGTAACTGTACAGAACTTTATTGAGAAAAAAAAAAAAAAAGATGGCTGTATAATAAATATCGAGACCTATGAGAACACAATGTCCTTAAAATAGATTCGCCCTGTATGATCGTCTTTTTCCGAGAATACAACGACAAAACTGAATAAAATCCGGCGAATTGGAATTATGCCCAAACCAAAACACTATAAAAACACTGGGGAAGAGAGGAGTTTAACAATTCTTTTTTGTTTTCTTCTTTGCTTGTGTTCTCTCTTCGCAAGAAGACAAGTCACCTTTTGTAGACCTAAGATAAAGCCATATTACTTAACTCATTCATTTACTCCAAAACATAACAAATTTAAGTTAAAGATTAACCATGTAACATGAAACAAGTTACAAGTTTTAAGATGAAACACATTTTCAAACTTAATCTTTATCTTACAAACTTCATTCATCAAGTTTTTTCCAACAATAATGACCAAAATTCCTTTACTACTTGTCTCAATAATGTAGCTTTCAAGCCACTTCATAAGAAATATTGTCCTTGCTTCTACTTAAAATTCTCTCAAATTCCCTTGCTCTAAAGCAACATTTACTCCAACATCACAAGCCAACAAGTCCATCTCCTTAAATAGTACAAAAAGACGCACACAATTCCCACATATCACACCACATTCGCTCTAATATCCATACTTTCTTCAACCAAGTTTCAAACTAGTATGGAGCAAGGCAAAAAGTTGGCCCTTATCGTGGGTTGCAACTATCCCAACACTTCAAACGAGCTTCACGGTTGCCATAATGACGCGTTAGCCATGCGTGACTTGCTCATAGCCCGATTCGGATTCAGTTCGGAAAACGTTGGGCTTATGATGGACAAGCCCGGAAGCCCAATAATGCCAACCGGAGCTAACATCAAGACCGCACTAAACAAAATGGTCGATCGGGCCGAAAAAGGAGATGTCTTGTTCTTTCATTACTCTGGCCACGGGACTCTTATCAAGCGTCACGGTTTATCCAAGAGAGAGGAAGCTATTGTACCTTGCGATTTCAATCTCATCACCAGTAAGTTAAAAGTAACAAAAATACTAAATAGCATATAACACTTTTCAAATAATAGTTAAGTATTTTGAATAAATCCAATTAATTTGCTCTGCATCTTTACATTTTATTAGGTGTGGACTTCAGGGAGCTCGTTAACCGTGTCCCGAGTGGAGCAACGTTCACGATCCTCTCCGACTCGTGCCACAGCGGAGGACTTATCGACAAAGAAAAGGAACAAATGGGCCCTCGTACGGCCCGTGTAGATACCCCACCAAGTGGGCCCCACCACAAGCCCAAGGCTATCCCTCTCCAGTCGATACTTGAGTATTTTACCTCACTAACGAGCAAAACCAGCACAGAGATAGGCGAACACATGGCGGAGGTTTTTGGGCCGGACGCCAGCCTCATGTTCCGGCCCGGCCCGGTCGACAGGCCGCTGAAGGATGACGAGGGGATACTGCTGAGCGGGTGCCAGGCGGACGAGACCTCTGCTGACGTGGAATTCTCGGGGAGCGCGTGTGGTGCCTTCAGCAATGCCGTTCAGACGGTGGTGAGGGAGAATCCGAAGCGGGATTTGAGTAATCGGGAAATTGTGGCCATGGCTCGAAAGGTTCTTTCTTTTCAGCACTTTGAGAACCAGCATCCGTGTCTGTACTGCAGTGACGAAAATGCCGATGCGGTTTTCTTGGGAGGGCAAAAGGCGACAAGCTGAAAAGAATATTTCGAATTTTTTTTTTTATAGCAGTCTTTTTGTTTATTTTTTTCTAATAATATGAACAAAATCCATGTCCTGTTGCTTATGTTACATGCTGTATTATCATGTAAAATCATTATTGTCTTAAATCACCATTGCTTCTTTTGTCACAAAAATGCCCCTTCAAAAGGGGGTCATTTTCTGGGATAAAAATGAAGCCAACAGTAAGTTATATACTTAAATGAAGGCAATGATTCTCAATCCAACCTCCCCTTTCATAAATGTAACTGAAATGTACATTCAAATTTCATTCTCAAATTTACAAAAAGAAAAGGTACTTTACTACTTTAGCCAAAAACAAACTGTGCCTCCTGGCAAATGAAACAATCGAAGATTCCATGACAAAAATGAAACTAAAGATCTTTCCATACATTAGAATCAGTAGTCGATACGTTGTAATTTATCACGCTGTCTTGACATCCTAAGAAAAACGTGGTCCTTTTCGTGTCCATATTCATCAAGGCATGTGCAGTGCCTCTAGGACTCGCGGCCACCGCAATTTCATCCGGGCCGATTGTTATCTCAGAGTAGCCTCTCTCCAATGATTTGTTTTCGAGCTGAAAATTTTAACAAAATCACACGATTTTGGTATTCGGGTTATTATAAGAAGATTATATAAGCTACAAGTAGGGGGTTTCTATATTGGTATAAGTAGACTTGCAAACGAACCGAGCGGCTCGCGCTCGAGTTTGACCGAACTCGAGCTGAGCTCGAGCATGTTATTGAGTCGATCTCAAGCCATAGGTTTTGGAAGGTCGAGCGGCTCGCGAGCACTCGAGATATAAATTGAATCACTAAAATCTATACTTATATTATAAGCAAACCTATTTACTAAATACAGTATGTTGAATAGTCAACATTAATTAATGTCTTTCTAATATTATCAAGTGCATTAATTACAAAACGTGAATGGTAAGATTTAATGACAAATCTTTTCTTATCTTTTTTCCAAGTTGGATGTTTTTTTTTTTATCTCAGAAAAAAAAAATCTGATAAAATAAGAAACAAAACGTGAATGGTAAGATTTAATCACAAATCTTTTCTTATCTTTTTTCCAAGTTGGACGTGTATTTTTTTATCTCAAAAAAATGAAGCAAACCCTACAATTTCGGTGAATATAGGCTTTTATACTCGGACAAAATAGATGTACACCGTTCGATCCCGTTGACCTTATCGTGACCGTGCGTTTAATATTGCAGATTGTTTGACGCGTGTTTTTTGTATCTGATACGTGTCGATAACTAAGAGCAACAAATGATCTTGCTGTTTTATTTTAATCAAATTGTAAGATATTGGGCCAAAATTAGTTGGGTTTGCCTCTAAACTTTGGGTCGTATATAAGTTTTTTTTTTTTTTGTTTTGTTTGGGTTGTATATATATGCCTTAGAATTGTCTATGTTTGGGCTTGATATGACTCATTAGTTTATAATATTGGTATTAAAATTAACACAATAAATTTACATTAGCAAGAAAATTAATTATATAGCTTTATTTTATTTATGCTTAAATTGGGCTGAATTGTTTGTGAATATCTATGTTAAATTGGTCTGAATTGGTTATGAATATCACTATCTACAAATTTTTTTATAATTTATCACATCTATGTTATAATTTTCCCCAATGTTTTACAATTTATTAAATCTTTAATAATATATGACTGTTTCTTTTTCAATACTATTTTACTGTAAAATTTTCATGTGTATTGTACAACTTTTATTGAATATTATATCTTAAAATTTAATACTCCTCAAATAAATAGTTTCTGTGTCTCGCACAGGTCACGTACTATATATCCCGTACATTTTTTATTCATTTATATAATTACAAAGTTGGATATATGATCTTAAAACTGTACACCCCGTGCATCGCACGGGCTCTGTACTAGTACCCCTTATGCTTAGATATAAATATTAAAATATTTTATACATGTACTTCATGGTACTTTTACTTGAAATTCGAGTCGAACGCGAGCAATATGTCGAGCATTTTGATTTCAATCGAGCTCAAGCTCGAGCTTGTAAAAAAACAAAAAATCAATCTTGCTCGATAAGGCCAACGCTCGACTCGACTCGGCTCATTTGCAGTCCTAGGTATAAGGAGGCAAGTGCCTCTTGCAGCAATCTGATGTACTGTTTTCCATATAAACACAGCTTTTTTCAGACCCGTATTTGATCATTCGTAATCTTCTTCTGAACTCAGAATTTGGGGACACGCACCAAAAGTGTTCCGATGTATACAGAAAGTTACCAATGATAGGTTCACATATTGTGAAAACTCAGAATACATATATTTAGCGGAACAACAGAATACCAGTTGAGTGAGAAAACACATACCCTGAACACAGTTTTAGCTCCCCATATAACAAACGTCTCGTTACAAGTATGGTGTCTATGATTTCCCCTCATGCTTCCAGGTCGGATCTCACCCACGTGAATAGAAGCACAATACAAAGCCCCTCCTGCAAATTAAACATCCATCTAATTGAGAAAACATTATAATTTCAACAGCGCTTAAGAACATCTACAAATAGGATATACATAAACAAATCAGTCTTCATTACCATTTACCATTTCTACATGGCTAGGTATAACACAACAGAGATCACGAATTAGTTAACAAACTGCAGAGATATGAGCAAACACTTGAGTTCTATTCTGAGATCTATTTTTGTGTGTCAATATTGCTTACTTCTTATTACATAAATCAATAATAGTTCAGAGTTCGAACAGCACTCAAGAAATCATCTGCTAACAGTTACTACAACAAAAGGCTATAAAGGGAACAATAACATCAAAACAGATAGTTTCTTTACAACAATCCAAGAGTAAAAGAAGCTTCACATTGGTGTAAATTAAAAGGTTATGTGACTTTGACGACTAGGTAATAAACGAAGCTCCGAACAACCTTCCTTTGAGAACGACCCGAGTCGGGTTGCTCGGTTACCACATTACCAAAAAAACCCTTCATTTGCTTAATTGCAGCATAAATAGCAGCAACAATCAACATAACCTAAAATTCCCTATGCATCGTAGTCTATAACTTTACACACCATATGAGCAGAACACACACACACACACACACACACACACACACACACACACACACACACGCACACACGCACACACGCACACACACACCTGGAATGCCAGAATCCAAGGCAAGTGAAACGGGATTAACCATCCAGCCGCGCTTGTCCCTCATCACGAGAGAGGAAAAAGACGGGAACTTCACAAGATTCGAATTCGAATCCTTAAAAAAACCTCCATTTTTCTCGTACGAAGACCGTTGAAACGCGGGACTGGAGTAACGGTGCTGGAATCTAAGCGAGACCCACGTGAGGAGAAGGAAAACGGAGAGGAGAAAAGGGAACGCGTGAGGCTTTTTGAGGAAAATCTTGAAGGAATTGAAAAGGGTCGCCGCCGATTGATGGGTTTGGGACTGGAATTGTGGGATCGGGTCCGAAATCGGGAGCTGGTTCGAGGAATACGAGGTTCTTCGCGGATTAGCCATCTCTTTTACATCGATTTCGAGGTTTTTACACTGTTTTTTTTTTTTTTTCCTCGAGTTTGTTATGCAAGTTTCATGGCGATTGATCGTTTGTGCTGCGAGTTTTTTTTCTGGTGCACTCATCAGTGAATTTGCTCGCAGGTGGGTTTTGTCATTTGGGTTAGCTTCGAGATGGGGCATGGATGTAAATAATGTTTTACTTGTTGGCTAATCAGAAAATGGAAAACTTAGGGGGGGCAATTTGCAATATCCCGAAAAAAGGTAAAATTGCAAATTAGATCACAATCTTTCCTTCGTTTGCATTATGGGAAGATGCTACGGTCCCGTTACGAAACCATTCCGTCGGATTTGTAACCGTTAGATCAACTATCTCCGACGGTTACATGATGATCTAACGGTTACAAACTCGACGGAATGGTTCCATAACGAGACCTTAGCATTTCCCTGCATTATGATATCAACCTTTAATTTTAGCCAAAAAAAAAAAAAACCCAAGATTCAACCAAAAAAACAAAGATTTTTTTTTTTTTTGGTACAGGGACCTTCCGGTTTCCGGATCCACAGGGGAACCGACTAATCCGGAATCGAGTCGGGTAGGACCACAAGGGCTGCAAAGATTTAGCTGCTTATATCCAAACATTTTTAGATTTTGAGCCATAAGCGCATCATCAAAACCACATGATTCAACTTGTAAATGGTAAAAGAAAACAAAAACAAAAAAAAAAAAACAAAACAAAACAAAAAATGAATTTGTCTGTTCTCTACTTAGAATATTTGTTTTTCAGAAATAAAACAACAGAACATATACTTGATTTCATATAAGCACACTATTATTTATGAGTTGGGGAAGAAAAAAGACAATTATTTAGAAGTAATCTAAAAGAACAATACAGAGCTATATATCTATACATAAAGCTGAATTCTTCCTCGTATTCGAATTCGCGAAAGAAAGTTTCTTATTTTATCGGCTTCAATTATTTTCAGGGTCATTTTTGGAATCAAGAACTTCGTCTTGTGGAAGGGCTAAGAAGGGCCTGAAGGTGAAAACAAAGCCCAAAAACTCGACCACATTCAAAGCAAAAAATACCAAGTGAACGCCTGTTATTACAGAAAAGGAAAGAAAAAAAAACAGCACTCAAAATGTAGATACGTAAAGCGAATGTTAGATGATGTTAATGAAGATGAAAGAAAATCGAGCCTCGCATTCAAAGCTATTTTGTGTATTCAACATTGCTCATGCAAGTCCATGCAAAAGTTTCGGTTCAAATTCAACTGCGAATGTTCATGATAGAGACAGAAAAATCGAAAAATCTTACTTTGATTGTCTTTAAGATAAAGCGAGAAATCGAGTTTTATATACCTGGTAATAAGCTTGCCTTCTGACGGAGTTCGGCCCAGGAGAGTCTTTGGATGTTGAAAACCGAGTAATATGACCGTAAAGAGAAAATTAGTATATAGACCATGTAAACAT